CTCGATGCTTCATGGAGGAGGTGGCCTTCTTCTCTCTTAGGGATAGAAACCTTGCAGATCACATTTCTAACTGTGACTTGCACATCCTTGGGCTGAGTGTGACACTAAGCATCCCTCACTCCAGAGGCCACTGGGCCTGCAGGGCGGGACCATGGTGCAGTCCCCCTGCCCTTGCCTTGTTGTGCTCAGGAGTAATGGAAGTTGCCTCATCAGGTTCAGGGCAGGGACTTTCTCCTCAAGATGGGGAGAAACTGCAGAATGCCGGAAAGCCCTATTCGCTGCAGTCATCTGAAAAGTTTCCGGTGCTTGTGTCATGGAGATACTGGGCCAGGCTGGTACGCCTGGCGCCGGGAGCGACATCAGGCCCAGAGTGCCCTGAGGGCCGTTGGGAAAGCCTGTGCAAGCAGACGGCTATTTTCAGGGCCTTTAAAACCTGGATTAAATGGGCCAGGCCAGTGCTCGGCCAGGCCAGTCTCTCTGGAGAACTACTGTTGTGGGATAATTTGCCCTGGTTCAATTTGATTTTTTTTTTTTAACATGACCAGAAAATCAGTCCTATAAAGAAAAAGAAAAAGAAAAAAGGAAAAAGAAAACCAGTCCTGAGAAAATCAGCTAGAGGCCTAGCTTGTCATCTTCCCCAAAGTGGAATTGGAAAAGAAAGCGGGACTGCGGTCCTCGGCCTGAAGTGCCTGAATCTCTGCCGGGAAGAGGGTGGTTTGGACTCTGCCTCCTTCCTCCTTGGGCTGATGGTGAGCTTTTCCTTGCTCGTCTCCAGAACCAGGTGCTCAGGCTGCGGGGAGAGGCCAGTGGAGGGGCCAGTGGAGGGTCTGTGAGGTGGGCTCTTGGGGGTCGAACCCTGGGGCTGCTTCTTCCGACCTCTGTGGCTGGGATGAGGCAGTGGTGGTGGGAGTCTGGGCTGCTGTGCCCCTGTCCTGCTCAGGGCATGCAGGGCGAGTGACCTCCCACACTGACCTGGTGCACTCCCCCTGGGGAGGCCTCCTTTTCTTTTGAAATGAGGCCATTATCTCCTTGCTGAAAGGAAGGTGTTTCCAGCTTTGGTGCGATGCCCAGAGACTATTTCTAAGCAGTTACTGTGTCTGCTCTAGGCCAGGCACTGTTCTGGCCCTGGGCTGCCTCCGGGGAGGAGACTCAAGTGAAGAAGAGATTACAAGTGTGATCGCTTACGGAGGATTCCTATAGAGTCCAGTGGTTCTCAACCTTGGCTGCACATTAGAATCACCTGGGAATCTTTTTAAAATCCTGATTTCTGGGCCTCATCC